AACTGCACCGCGCGCTGCCTGCTGCCGCCTGGAGCCACAGCTCCTGCGCCCTACGCGCCCGCCGCTCAACTCTCTGGCCCGGCCCTTCAGTGCCAGCCTCTCCTCCAGGCTCCAGAGATCACAGTCCGTCGCTGTCACCGTGCATCTCCCTCTCCCCGGGCTCGGTACTCCCTCCCCGCCACCCCGCAGCACCCTGCACCGCCCATGTCCGGCTCTCACCCAAACACCCAGAACGAAGTCCTTTTTAAAATTAAGCACCCTCAAAAGCACCGGCCGCGTCTCTTCTTTTTGATTCTTTCTTTTCTTTTCCAAATTGTCTCCAAGTCTTAATCTTGAATGACGTGACCACTTTCATAATTAAGGAGAGAAAAAAAGTTTAGAAAAAAGAAAAACAAAACAAACAACAGCAACAAAAACCAAACGGACGGAGCGAGAACGCTTGGGGATTTAATGGGTTAAAGCCTGTGGCCCCAGTTCGAGACTCGGCATGAGGTTTTGGCAAGAATTAAAAAAGCGCCTCCCGCCTGGGTTTATGTGTCTACTCCTCTGAACCTTCGGGCGCTTGGAGCTCTTTGGCACCACGCTTATTTATTAAAACGCCGGCTCTGAGCTCTTAACAACCAGGGGAGACACACTGGTTTCCGAGCGGAGCCAGCAGCGCGGGCTTGAAGCGCAAGCACGGACGTGGGGCGCCACCTACGGGCGCTGGCGCCTCCCTGCCGCAGGCTCCGGACGTGGGGATTTGGGCAGAAACGTATGCTAGGCCTAGGGATCAGTCCTGCTGGTGCTCCTCTTCCTCCCCCAAAGCAGTGCTGGCCTCTGCAAAAATACAATAACAATAATTACTATCTTTCCAGTGTCCTTTAATACCTGTTAAGTAACAAGATGAGACAGCACTCTTCATTGCTCAAACCTTTACCTGTCTAACACGTAATAGTGAGATGATAAACACTGCAGAGAGCTTTTCATCCTCTGCACTATGTTTGCATGGACCACGGGACTGTAGTCCATATCGGGCTCAAGCCAAGACAATATAGTATTTAGGTGTGTGTTATCTTTATAACTTGAGCTTTAAATGCATCGTTTAAAATATACTTTTGCCTGTATAGTGTGCTTTTTCTGATAATCTGACCAAAAAATAAACCCCTAGCCAGCCAATGCAGTCCACCAGAACAGAGAATATAAATTTGTTATGCCTCTAGACTACACATCTACCCTTCCTTCCTTTGAAGATTTCAGTAGTGTTCTGGTTTCACACTTAAGAAACCTGTCTTTTCAGTAGGGAGTTTTGAAGCATTTTGTTTTAGTTTTGTTTTGTTTTTGTTTTTTTGAAATAGTGTCTCACTATGTAGTTGAGACTGACCTGGAACTCACTATGTAGCCTAGGCTGGTCTCAAACTCACAGCGATCCTCCTGCCTCACCTCCCGAGTGCTGGGATTACAGGGGTGCACCACCACGCCTGGGTTGAAGCCCTTTTTTATCACTTCTCTCACTGCCATTTTCTGCACTTAGAACACAATTGTAAGGCCTAAGTCCTGAAAATGACATCCAGGCACATTCCATGCAACTGGCACACATGGGTAGGAGGCAGGGCAGAGAGAAAATGGGGCCACAGTGTTGAATGATTCAGAATGGTACAAGAAATGATTCTTATGGTACAAGAAAGTGATGAAGAGGCTCCAAGTCAGATAAGTTCTACAAAACTGTACAAACTATCTAAGAACTCCAAAATATATCATCCTCAACTGTAGTCAAGGAAAAGTAAATTCTCCACTGCAGTATTTTTATATCATGCTGATCATATATACCAGGCTTTCCCAGGAAGCTTTTCCAAAGCCACTGTAGGTCATAACCTTTTACTCTCAGTTTGGTGAGTTTAACACTGTGGAAATAGTACATTTTTTATTTAAAGATACTTTATTCCAATATTGCATCATTTTGACAGTGTTATCAAAATGCATACAACTATCTATCATGATATCATGAAAAGTACTAATTTAGGTGGAATCCTAAATAATTCAGGATACTAAACCTACAAAAATGTGTGCCCATAGACTATTAGAGCAATTTGGGGATTCTAATTAAGTAGCATTACCTTTGACACATACACAAGTTTTAAATAGCAGCTTTAGTAAGCAACTTTCTTTTTTTTTTTTTTGAACCCCACCCCATAAGCAACCTTCTTAATACTGTGCTTTGGCACTTCTTTTTACCAATATAAATGAAAACATGGGAAAGCCAAATTATCATAACTTCTGGAAGCTAAAAAATAAAACCTTTTTTAAGTGGCAGTGAAAATGTTTGAATGATATAATAAAAACAAACCTTTATACAATGAACAAGATAATGAAATGGAATCAATAAACATTAGCATGTGGTGTAAAAATGAGTTGGGTTTAAATTTAAATTTGAGATAATTTTTAAAAGGAAGTTAATAATAATGAAAGGCATCAGGTTAGAGAGATACTATTTACTAAATGGTTGGTATTTATACCTATTTGAAGATACTTGGATAGAATTTTAGTTAGTGAGCATACGTAGAAAAAAATTTCAGCCTATAACTAAAATTTAAAAGTGAAAACCTTTCCAGTTACCCTGGGCCTTACTTTTTCTGTTTCTTCTCCATGTTATTAGTAATTGTTGCTATTACTAAGAGGACATTAGTATACTGTATCCCTAAATGTACCAATAAACTCAATAAAAAAAAAGAGGACATTAGTAGTAGATCTTAAGTGTAGAGGCTTCTACACAATTGATAATCAAAATGTCAGCCATTTGATGAATGCTTGTGGTGTGTGGGATATTGTACAAACCCTGTGCTCTACTGTGGTTATGCAGAGCTTAGGAAAAGAGTATACTAAGCTTTTTAAAAAATGTGTTGGAAGAGAGGCTGAAAACATTCAAATCCTCTTCCTTTTATTTGCTCAAAATATTTATCTCTTATAGAGTTTATATATTTTGGGGAGGAGAATAGAATTCATTAATAAAGTTGATTTTCAGTAGTCAGTATAATATTTTGTATTTTTATAACCTACTACACTGCATTTCTGACTTTATTCCAGATATGTCTTAAATATGGTCTAGCATGTATTTCATACTGTTGCAAGGTAAAACCATAAACATTCCTTTAAAAATAAGCATAAGCATTAATAAGCAAAAAATAGTTTTCTAG